GAGTTGGATTGCATAAAATTAAAAAAAAATCATAAAAACATCATATGCAATTGAATTTGCAATTGCATTGATGGAGATGCTCTTAATAATTCTACTCATTTTTACTAAAACTTAAAATAAGTTACATTTTTGTGAAACATTTAAACAAACAAACACATAAGTAATATATATTTTTTTCAATTAAACAAACTATAAAGATGAAAATAGAGAGTGACATATATCGTGTTTGTTTAACCCAAAAATATCTTATTAAATCTCATTAAGTAAATTTTCTATTTATTTTTATATTATAATAAGTTAAATTTTGATGGAAAAAACAAGCACACATATGAATAATAATAATTTTTAAATTAAAATATTTTATACGATGGCCTAAGAGAAAATAAGTATTTGACAATCAATCGACTTTGAAAAATGAACTATATGACTATATATTTTTTTGCTATCAAACACTCAATTCTTCCTAATGCATATACTTTTAAAATAAAAAAGAATAATTTATATAGAAAAAAGACTGATGTTAAATTTGGCAGAGCAATAATTGTTGTTTTTTTAAACACTTCTTATTCATTCAGATTAAATGAAAACATATTAATTATAAATGCAACATTTTAATTTATCTCTACCCTTTTCCTATTTTGATTGTCTCCATAAATAAAATCCAAATATTGAAAATAAGAAATTAGATAGAGAAGGAGATGGTAATGCATATGAAGTTTTATTTTTCTTTGTAGGATAATAGGAGGAGGGAGGTACACGAGGCATTGTCTATATGGCAAAATTTTGAGCAGTTGTAACATGTTTTGTTTGTTGATGAAAACTGTTCATCCTATCATTGCGAAGACGAGGTGAACCAAACCTAGGATTGTCGACTGCTCCCTCTTCCTCCTTGATCTGAAGCTGGCAACTGCTCACTCTTCTTTCCATTCTTTTCTTAATTTCTTCCAAATTAAGACTGTTGGATGGTAAATTTCCCCACTCGATGAGCGAATTTATTTCTTCTTCGTTTTCATGGAGTTGTTTTATGTTCTCTATTACGTCTTATACTAATAGGTAATATATAATTAGAAGGGATAATTGATTGGACTTAGGGCATATCTCATTTGGTTGAATAATTGATCGTTTTCCTTAAATGGCTATTGCAACCTGATTGCTTAGATGTTGAAATGGAAAGTAGAGTTGTTAGGGTTGGTCATTATATTTTTTATGTTCAGGATTGACATGCTACTAGCAAGCTATAAGATGATGATATGGTTAGTAATTAGTAGGTAGCAAAGGGATTATAGTAGAAGGGACCATAATTGGGGTTTTATAAAGGTCGTGAAGAAGAAATAAAATGGTGGTGGTGGTTCCTCGGTTGCGTATTTCGATGTTTTTTCAATTTCTACACGTTTGCAATGACATTTGTTTGTTTCATTAGGGTGAATTTTTTCTCATTGAATCACTAACTAAAGTTTGATTTTGACATGATTGTTTTTTACCAACTACCATTTGGATTGGTGCATAAATTCAGTTCACAAATTAGGAATCTGCAAGATAGAATGAGTTGAGTTATATTGAAGTACTTCTTTCATTATTTGTCTATGTTGTTATTAGGTTAAAAAGCACAAGTATTTTTGCATGAGATATGTAGCTCTCTATAAAATATAAGTTGTGTTGATATGCAGTTTAGTTTACTGAAAATATTGTTTTAATAAATAAGTGACAACTGATAATTCTGTTTGTGGTTGGTTTTGTTAGAACATTGTCAAGATAAATTAAATGAGTATGCGAAAGATTGATGGATGTGGATGCTAATGTGTTTCATTATTATTCCAGAATTGCAGGTGTAACTGATAATACACGATATTCGAGGATCTAGATCGGAATATTCTCTATTATCATATACGGACATATGAGAAGGGAAAGAAAATGAAAAGCTCTTAGCTTATTTTTTTTATTAATTGATGCATATCTTCTTATTCAAACCTTTTTGTTTGTGGCCTTAAATTTTTTAACTTCTTTATCACTTTTTTTAGTTCGATAAAAAAATTTTAAATCGATAAAAAAAATCTAAAGAGAGCTCAGTTAATACAATTAATTTTTTCATAAATAAAAAAAGATAAAAGTATGAAACATTACCTAAAATAAGGTAAGTGAGATTTACAATTACTTGTACATTAGCTCAACAAACATAAATAATAATAATAATAATAATATAATGAATTATAAAATAATCAAACATAATGCACATGCACCGCCCAACGGGCGGATAAAAAACTAGTTAAATATAGAAAGCTAGGGATAAAAAGAAACGTAATAAAAAAAAGTTAAATGCAGAAGGAATGACCGGCAGCGCCGGTGCCCTTGTTTCGTTTTTTTATTGTATTTTTTTTGGTGAATTTATTGTATTTTTCTAATAAAGGGCTTAAAATGATTTATATTTATTTAAGGGTTAATACCACATTTGGTCACTGAGATTACTAAATCCTGACATGTTTAGTCACTAGAAAAAATTAATATCAACTTTGGTCACTCAAATTACTAAAACAGGTCACATTTAGTCACTCTACGTTAGTCTCCGTCCAAATTCATTAACAAGTGCTGATGTGGCTAACAAGAGTGCCTAATCGGCGCCATTTTGACCCGAAAATGGCCAAACCCGACCCGCCACATCACTAAACCCGCCATGTCATACACCCAACCCAACCCATTAACTCAACCGAACCCAGAACCAAACCCGACCCATTTAACAAAATAAAATTGGAAAATCAATTGGGTTAGTGACCATTTCCAGACTCGAAACCCATTTCCTTCCTCGCAAAGACTTTTCACAACACACCTGATTTGCTCCCTTTTTTTTTCTCTTCTTTCGCCCTAGGTTTACTTCTCTCGCTCTCCCTCTCTCAAATTTCTCCTCTTCCGCTATGATCTAACAACCATCCAGGAAGCGGACTAACAGTTAAACCGCCGCACGCAGCCGAAGAAGGGTACCACGGGAGAGTAGAAGAAAAACTTACCGCTCCCGAAGCCCCTCTCAACTACGTCACGTAGCCTGAAAGTCCGCCGCTTTCCGACTCATGAATAAATGGTACTTCTGCTGCTTCCATAGCCGCCGACTCTACCCGTCTGTGATTTGTCTTTTTTGTACTGAAATAGGGCTAGGGTTTGGTTGTTACTGTTCTTGACGAATTGTTCGGAAGGGATGGGAAGAAGAAGATGGGCTCGGTATAGATAAGCAGGGGATCGAAGGACATGTTAGGGTCAAGAACAAGCAGGATACTGCTGGTAATGAAATGTTTTGTTTGGCTTTTCGATTTCAGTTCCTGTTTTGTTTTGTTTGTTTGCCTGTCTGGTTTGGTAAAAGATTAGAATGGAAAATGTAGCTCTTTCTCAGCTGGTTGCTATTTTGCTTGGGAGATAGAATGGAAAAAGAATTGTAATGAAAAGGGTAAGCACTTTCCTCTAGATTCTACCATTTTCGATCGAACACATCAGAGCCTAGCGAGGAAGGAGAAGGGTTTCGGGTCTGAAAATGGCCACTAACCTAATTGATTTTTCAATTTTGTGTTGTTAAATGGGTCGGGTTTGGTTCTAGGTCTGGTTTGGTTAATGGGTTGGGTTGGGTGTATGACATGCTGGGTCGTGGCGGGTCAGGTTTGGCCATTTTTGGGCCAAAACGACGCTGATTAGGCGCTCCCGTTAGCCACGTCAGCACTTTTTAACAGTGTTGGTCGGAGACTAACGGAGAGTGACTGAATATGACCTGTTTTAGTAATTTGAGTGACCAAAGTTGATATTAATTTTTTCTAGTGACTAAACATGTCACGATTTAGTAATCCCAGTGACCAAATATGGTATTAACCCTTTATTTTAATGGCTTTTTTAACATAGACATAGACAGTAGTCAGGTAAATCCTCGATCAATACAGAGTCAAAGAACAGAAAATAATACCGTGCGGTAGGGGTGGGCATGTGGATGTGAAATCCGCGGATTGATATCGATCCACCCGCAAATAACCCGACCCGCAAGTTGTGGGTGAATTATGTGGGTGGATTGCGGATTGATAAATCTCACACCCGCATTTATGTGGGTGGGCGACGGGTGGATTGCGAGTTACACGAATGACCCGCTTCCTATTTTCACATGAAAAAATGTTGTTTCTTATAGTATCGAATATTCATCATATTTCCAAACCGCATTACGGTCTGACCATATACTTCTTAATGTGGAGAATAAATAATACTTTTATTACTGTTATTGGTTATTGTGTTGTGTAATATCCATTAATTGGATATTGTAATGCAAATTATTGTTAATATCCATTATATATTGGTATGGAACTATAAATTATTAATTGTATCAAAATCACAACATGCGTAAGTTTTCCCTACACAATTGGAGGATAGAGAAATAAATTTTTTGATGCAAATACTACATGGATTCACTAGAGAGAAACTGATAAGTGTCTAAATTGATACAATCTTACTACTTCGTTATGAACTTATTATAAATGTTAGTCAACTTTCTTAATAGCTAGTTGGGGAATTATTTTTGCGGGTTAACCCACGACCCAACTGCATCCATCCGCCACCCATCCAACCCGACCCGCATAAGAATGTGGATTGATTGCGGGTCACAATTATTCCAACCCGCTAGGAAGTGGATGAGTCAATTTAAGACGAAAACACACCCACCCACCCATTGCCCACCACTACTGTGCGGTAGTCGACAAATAGTCGAACTACCGATGAAAGGGCATGTTATGCCACAAAATGGACAGTCCTATGAGGAGTTGTACGTGCAAAATAAACAAACACATAACCAGCCGAATATATATAAACATTAAAATTAACTATGTCATAATCCTTGCTCCTTTAACCTCAAACAAATGTCATCTCACTGTTTCTGCTACTGCCAATGGCTCAAAACTAAACATGCACTTATCTTCGCATGCCACAGTTACATGCATTCGCCTACCATCCACGTTGCACACACATGAAATCAAAGCAACAGCTACCGCCCAATTTGATCTTAATTCCTGCCAAGAAGTTCGATGAATGCAGTCACGGGTGTGCCGCATATCAAGTCCTTTGCCATTTAAAGTCTAAAACAGAGTACAGGGCAATTGCAGCATGCTGATGAACTTCATTAAAGTAAATCAACTGAGAGGCAAGATCTACAACACGAGAGTTCACTTCAGTCGAAGGTCATCACTGGTTCTTGAACCATGTCCCTGCATTAACTACAATAAAGAATAATATTATCTTATCTCTTCTCTAGTTAGTAGCAACTTTTCTCTGCTTTAATTCATTCATTCAACCTAGAAGGCAGGCTATTTTGCGGCAGCAGATAAGTGGCAACTCAAAGCTGTTGGCTTTGTGAGCAGAGGAACCATTAAACTAAGTCACCCTGGTATAACTCAAAGACAAACACAACCACTGCATGTGGTCCACTAATATAAAAGAAAAACCATGCAACGAGGCAGCCAATTCGTGCCAAATTGACAATGACCTCGCAGAATAGTTGGCCCCAAGTCTGCAGTTTGTATAAAGACTGGGCAAGAGCAACTAATCAATACAGCAAAGATGCTATAATGTCCTACCAATTTGCTTCATGCTAGCTTCTTCACAATTTTCTTCACTTCATCCTTCATTAAACTAGTTAAGTGTGCTTCTTTATGCTCGTCTCTATCCCATCTGCAATCCACTATTGCTCAACAAGTTCTGAGTTTCTCCTGAAACAACTGTAACAGTTCAGGAGCCTGCTCTTTATAAGGGTCCAAAAACTTCTTCTGGAACCCCTCATTCGTTAGTACCAATGCCTGAACCGAGGCCCTAGATTCGATCAACCCTTTTGACAACAAGACACACAGAACAGCATCTCGAGGCATAATCCTCTTATCCAAGCTGAAGGCCAGTAATATAGGTCGAGCTGCAATAACCAAAGGATCAAACCCCATTTTGTTAACGTAGTAGTCCATATTGGCCATAAGTTTCTTCACAGACATTGCCATACACCATGGAGACTTCGTGAAAGCCTTCAGAATCAGTTCGTTGGACCAACCCCACTTCTTATAAGCATCAATCTTGCTGTCCCAAGTTCCCTTGCTCACTCCTCTAATCGTCTGAACAGCTATACTGAATAGCGTTAACCTAGGATCCACCCCCATTTTCTTGACACGTTCTATGGCCTGAGAGAGTTGACTCCGTGAAGTCATGAGAGTCCTCGGGTGAAACAAGAGTAATCGCACAATGCTCGACTCACCGGCCCCACTTTCTCTAAGAATCTTGATACTAGGGATCACATATGTCTCCAGCTCACAAGTCAGAAGGAACGGGCTGCGCCTTATAGCCCGAATAAGGTTCTCATCAGACGGCATGACAGTTTTGAAGAAGTTGAGATTAGGGAGCAGCTGGTTCTCTATGCTGGAGTGAAGTATCTCGGGAGTTCTAAGCAAGATTTGAGCAATGTCGGAGGTTGAGAAGCCGTTGGATTCCAAAAACCTAATCCTGGGCACGAAGTGTTTCTGAGGATCAGACATTAGGAGCCGGGGGCGCCTACCGAAAACCTTAGGCAATTGGGAATCCGTGAAACCCAGGTTCCTGAAGAAGCCCAGGACTACATCAGCTCTCTCTGGGGTTTCGAAATGGATGTACTTACCAGCAGAAGCAGCAGATTCAGGACGAACCCCGCATTCGTTTATGAGGTAAGACACAGCGAAAGGGACTGGAGCAGTTGGGTCGCTGGAGAATAGCCGCAGACAGGAAAGCAACGTACAAGGGTTTACTCTACCAGATAAGCAGGAACTATCGCTATGGAGCAGCCAATTCTTTAGAACAAATCTCGCCCGGTGCAGCATTTTCCCAAACTAAGAATCTGACGGGAAGCGAAGCACAATATATGCAATGAAGTCGGAGAGAGTATTGGGGATTTGAGAGGTTATTACCTTCTCAGGCGCAGAAACAGCTCCGGCGACGACAATTGAGATTTGAGGTTGATTCGTTTGTGGGCGCCGGAGGCTGCCAAATTTGGGATATTGCTGATGTTTAGGGGTTGTCGTCGGGAATCGAAGAAAAGGAGGATGAATGGGATGGCCAACAAAAAGCAGACTCGGGTCTGCCACCAGTTCTCGGGGAATTTTGGGCTTCTAGGATCAGGCCCAAGATTTCAAAGCCTAATGAACCTAGACCTATTTCGATATCGGAAATCATATATTGAGCTAAGTGCTAACAGCTAACACGTTAATCGGATCCCGCTGGGTACTCATTCGAAATTCACCGAGATGGTGACCAAATTCCCCTACCAACCATCCTTGGTAGGCTTGGCAACCCTGACCGACCCGCTGGGTACTCACTCAAAATTCACCCATGTTGATATGACTTGAATCGGATTATCAGCCGCTACGACTGGTAATCACGGTGTATGGGCTCAATGTTATTTGGGTTCGGGTTCTGGGCCTGGTCTGTAACCGTTTCCTTTGCCATATTGGATTAGGTTTAGACCCACATGGAGAAGTACTATAAATACTTCTCATACTCCTCTGTAATCTGAAATCTCCTCGATATAGTGAAACTGGCTCTCTCTCGCCCGTGGACGTAGCTAACACACATCGTGTTAGTGAACCACGTAAATCGTGTGTCTGTGTTTTCGATTCTCGCTTTCGTATTCTTGCTTTGTCGATTCCGGCTATTTCCCGATCCGTAGCAGCGCATTTATAACAAGTGGTATCAGAGCCTGGTTGGAAATCAGGCTAGGGTTTTTCGATTCAGAAGAATGACGTCGGTGAACATGAAGATCGAAAAGTTCACGGGGAAGAACAGCTTCGCTATATGGCAGATCAAGATGCAGGCTTTATTAAAACAGCAAGGGCTGTGGGGGCCGCTGTCTGCGAAACAGAAGAAGGCAGCGGTCGATGACGATGAGTGGAATACCCTGGAGGAGAAGGCCCACTCGACCATCATGCTATCATTGTCTGATGACGTCATCATTGAAGTCGCTGCTGAGAAGACTGCCGCGGGCTTGTGGTTGTAACTAGAGAGTCTGTACATGACTAAGTCTCTAACCAACAAGCTGCATCTCAAGCAACGGTTGTTCAGCTTGAGGATGCAAGAAGGTACGCCTTTGAGGGAACATCTCGAACAGCTTAACTCTATTTTGCTGGATTTGCGTAATATAGATGTTCAAGTTGACGACGAGGATGCTGCCCTAATCCTACTGGTTTCTTTGCCGAGTTCATATGAGAATTTCGTTGATTCTTTTATTGCTGGTAAAGAAAGCGTGTCGTTGGAGGATGCCAGGTCTGCTCTTCATACGAGAGAGATCAGACATAAGGCGTCCGGTTCAGGTACAGGTGGTGAAGCATCGGGTTTGGCTGTTACAGGTGGAAAGGGAAAGAAGAAATCTGGCGGATCAAGGCGATCCGCGTTGATTTGGCGGATCAAAGAGATTTTCGCGTCTGGAAAAATCCTTGTAACGAGAGGCCCATCGATACAAGGTGTCTGGCGGATCAAGATAATCGCTGAGGTGAGGACACGATGTTCGTGGTCCTTGGCTTGAGGGGAGGATTGTTATGGGACAATCCAAGTACCACATCGGTAATACAAGGGAAGGAACCCTTGTATATAAGTGTCCACCTAGCCCAATTAGTACGAGGCCTTTTGGGGAGGACACCCGAGAGTAAAACCGTGCGAGCTTGGCCCAAAGCGGACAATATCGTACTAATTGAGCGCCCCGATTTCGACAAGTGGTATCAGCCGCTTCCTTACACGATGTGCCTTCTCATATGGTAAAGGGAATTCGAACAAGAATTCCAAGGGTCCCGGTCCACAGCCAGGTGATGCTTGTCACAACTGTAAGGAAGTGGGGCATTGGAAGTACAACTGTCCCAAGAGAAGAGGGCAACAGAAGAAACAAGGTTCGGTTGCCGTGGCAGAAGTGGACAATAGTTCTGAAGACGATCTCGCCTTGGCTGTAGATGAGAAGGCACATCGTGGGGATGTGTGGTTTCTGGATACTGCAGCCTCATACCATATGTCTCCGAACAGGGATTGCTTCACAACCTACGAGCAGATAGATGGTGGTAACGTGGTCATGACTAATGGAGCTGTCTGCAAGGTTGTTGGAATCGGTCCATAAAGGTTCGGACACATGATGGTTCGTTCTGTACCGTGAATGATGTCAGGCATGTTCCACGAATGACAAAGAACCTGATCTCCTTGAGTCTACTCGACAGCAAGGGTTTCAGTTTCAAAGGAAAAGGTGGAGTTGTGTATGTCTGCAAAGGTTCAAGGATGGTGCTGAAGGGCGTGAAGCGTGGAACCTTGTATGCATTACAAGCGTCAGTGTTGTCTGGTTCTGCTGCAGTTGCATCGTCTCAGGTTCATCAGGAAGATATGACCACTCTCTGGCACATGAGACTGGGGCATATGAGTGAACGGGGGATGCAAGTTCTGTCAAAGAGGGATCTTCTTTGCGGGCACAAGATGCAGAATTTGGAATTCTGCGAGCATTGTGTGTTTGGGAAGCTACATCGCAGCAAGTTTCCCAAGAAGGGTATCCACCGGACGAAGGGGATACTGGATTACCTCCACTCCGACTGTTGGGGTCCTTCACGAGTTGAATCCATTGGAGGCAGCAGGTATTTTCTGTCTATTATTGATGATTATTCGAGATTTACTTGGATTTTCATGATGAAGCAGAAAAGTGAGGCTTTCACGAAGTTCAAGCAGTGGAAGACATTGGTGGAGAATCAAACCGGGAAGAAGATCAAGAAGCTGCGAACGGACAATGGTCTGGAGTTCTGTAGTTCTGAGTTCAACGAATTCTGCAAGGATGAAGGGATTGCCCGTCATCGGACTATGAGAGATATACCCCAGCAGAATGGCGTTGCAGAAAGGATGAACCAGACATTGTTGGAGAGAGCACGGTGCATGCTCTCTAATGCTGGACTAGAGAGAAGATTCTGGGCAGAAGCAGTGAACATGGCGTGCTTCCTGATCAACCGTGGACCTCACACAGGTATCGAGTTGAAGACTCCTTATGAGGTGTGGTATGGTAAGCCTGCTGATTACTCTTCATTGAAATTTTTTGGGTGTCCTGTTTATTATCATGTGGATGAGGGTAAACTAAACCCAAGGGCAAAGAAGGGTGTACTTGTGGGTTACGGAGATGGAGTTAAGGGATTTCGAGTCTGGTCACCTTCTGAGCATCGAGTTATACTCAGTAGAAATGTGATATTTGATGAGAAGTCTATCTTTAACCCCATGTTGAAGGTTACTGTTGTTGAAGGTAGCAGGAATGTTGATAAACAGGTGGAGCTGCAAACTCTCAATGAGAGTGAGTTTGAGCACCAAGGTGGAGAAGATCAACATGATGAGGATGTCTCTGCAGAGCCAGAAATTTCGGAGTCCAGTGCACGAGCTCAACAGTCTATTGCTTCCGGTAGACCGAAGAGAGCGACTGCAGGAGTACCTCCACAGAGGTATGGCTTCGAGGACATGGTGGCGTATTCATTTCAGGTTGCTGAAGAAGTGGATGCAGGAGAGCCACAGTCCTACAGAGAAGCAGTTTCGGGTGGCGAAGCTGATCAGTGGCTTGCCGCAATGGGAGATGAGATGGAATCCCATGACAGGAATCAGACTTGGGAGCTAGTCAAACGACCACAAGGAAGGAAGATTGTTACAAACAAGTGGATCTACAAGAAGAAGGATGGAATCACTTCTAAAGAGGGCATGAAATTTAAAGCTCGGGTGGTTGCACGAGGCTTCTCGCAGAGGGAAGGAGTTGACTACAATGAGATTTTCTCACCAGTGGTCAGACATACTTCGATCAGAGTGCTACTAGCAATAGTGGCACATTATGACTTGGAGCTCGAGCAGCTAGACGTGAAGACAGCTTTCCTACATGGAGAGTTGGAGGAAGAAATTTACATGACTCAGCCAGAAGGATTCGAGGTTCCTGGAAAAGAAGACTATGTTTGTAAGCTGAAGAAGTCCTTGTATGGACTTAAGCAGTCTCCGAGGCAGTGGTACAAGAGATTTGACAGTTACATGCTTGAGCTGGGCTATAGCAGAAGTCCATATGATTGTTGTGTGTATCACAACAAGGTGGAGGATGGTTCGATGATCTATCTTGTTCTGTATGTGGATGATATGCTCATAGCTGCGAGGTCGAAGTCTGATGTCCAGAAGTTAAAGGGGCTTCTCAGTGCTGAGTTTGAGATGAAGGATTTGGGAGCTGCTCAAAAGATCTTGGGTATGGAGATTTATAGGGACAGGTCGAAGAAGAAGCTTTTCTTGTCACAGAAGAGCTACATCCAGAAGATACTGTCGAGGTTTGGCATGTCTTCAGGAAAGCCCTTAAATACTCCTAGTGCTTCAAATGTTCATCTATCCTCAGCTTATGCACCACAGTCGGAGGCTGAGAAGGAGTACATGTCGAGAGTCCCATATGCTAGTGCAGTAGGTAGCTTGATGTACGCTATGGTATGCACTAGACCTGATCTTGCACATGCTGTTAGTGTTGTCAGCAGGTTTATGATACAACATGGGAAGGAGCATTGGCAGGCTGTGAAGAGGATCTTTCGGTACCTTAAGGGCACACCTGATGTGGGGATTAGCTTCGGAAGTGATACGGAGTGCTTGGTGTCTGGGTATTCTGACTCGGACTATGCTGGAGATGTTGACACGAGGAGATCGATGACCGGTTATGTATTCACTCTTGGGAGTTCAGTAGTGAGCTGGAAGGCAACTTTGCAGTCGGCGGTGACATTGTCTACTACTGAGGCAGAGTATATGGCGTTGACAGAAGCTGCTAAGGAGGGAATATGGTTGAAGGGACTGGTTGGTGATCTGGGTCTACATCATGATCAGGCAGTGGTGTATTGCGACAGTTTGAGTGCAATATGCTTGGCCAAGGATCAAGTCCACCATGAGAGGACTAAGCACATAGACGTGAGGTATCATTTCTTGAGGACAGAGAAGAGGATTAAGGTGAAGAAGGTTGGCACCGCGGATAATCCTGCTGATATGTTCACGAAGCCGGTTCCATGATAACGATGTAATTGCACATGTTTGCGGCCCTAGTTCTTATCCGTTTGAGGGGCATAGTCGTGTGTTTTGGCCTATTTTACGCCGGGTTGTGCTATTTTGTCATGTTTCAGGTCCCAGGCGTCAAAGGGAAGGCTAACCACGAGTTTCGGGGCATTCGGAAGTCATTTCGGTGAGCTGGAGCCAAAACACGGGCAGCCTAAAGCATTACACGGCCGTGTACTGCTGGCCGTGCTTTTTATGCCGAGAGCAAATTCAGTTTGGCCAATTCAGCTGCAAACACGGGCACCGAAGCACGGCCGTGTTCATTCAAAGCACGGCCGTGTCCATCGCGAAGCACGGCCGTGTTTCCACCAGCTGCTGGCCGTGTAATTAAACCCTGGCCGAGGCACGGGCGGAGTCAGGCAAAGCACGGCCGTGCCCTCGACCGTGCTTTGGCCACTGATGCTTTTAAGCAGATTTTCAGCCACAATTCAAGGGGATTCGAGTTTTTGAGAGAGAGATCAGTTCCTAGAGAGAGAAAATGACGAGCAAGAGTTCCCAAGTGCCCTAGATTGATCTTCAACACCATTAGAGGCCAGCTTGAGCTTGGAGAAGTGCCAATCAACGTCCAGAAGCAGGAATCCATCCTTCGCAGTATGAATTCCGTGTCTGATTCTGCTTTTGCTTTCTTCTCCATGGAGTAGTTCTCCCATTCATCTGGGTATGGAGAACCCTAGATTTGTATGTTAGGCTTTGATTGTATGAACCCAAGTACTGATTCTATGATTGATTATATTCGATTGAGGTTTTAATGATTGAATGACTTGAATCCTGATCAAATTCCTGTTGTTTCTGCTTTGACCTAGAATGAGAATATCTGCCTAGGTTAATGGAGTATCCTTGATTGAAGGTAGGGAGTTGGTGACTTTAGTCGAGGAGCCAACTCACTATTCTGTACCGGATTTACTCCGGTAGTGGAGGTTTTGTTCTTAGGGCCTCAATCTGTCGACTCCGGTGGAGGTTAGTCGCCCGCTAGAGAGTCAGATTGAGAGGGTCTGAAGACCTTTAGTCGAGACTTCAGGCTGTTTAAGAACCTTCCGCAGTATAACTGTCATAGAAACTGAACTTGGTAATTACAATCCGGCTTAACTGCAGTCTAGGGGGAACCATATCCGGGTGACTTCTCTTAACTTGAATACAACAGTTTACTTGCTTTGTTAGTTTGTTAGTTAGACTTGCATTCCAGTTTCATTGCTAGATAACAAGAATTCACTGAGTAGTCATCACATCTAGGACCCGGGTTGATAATTAAACCCAAACCCGCTATACTACGCTTTAGGAAGTGGTTACACTTGGCCAATTCCTGGAGTGACAGTAGAGTCGAGTCAAGTTTTTGGCGCCGTTGCCGGGGACGGCTAGGTTGTTGAGGAAAAGTGATTTCTGTTAATTTAGCTTTTCTTTTTGCTTTGTTTGCTTTGTCCCACTTGTGCCTTCACGGGTTTGTTGCTTGAGTGTGTGCAGGTAGTGCATGACCCGTAGCCAGTCGGGAGGTTTACTGCCGTTGAATCCAGAGATTGACCGCACCTGTCGCCAGCTTAGGAGACAACAGCGAGCTAGACTGGCTACGGAAGAGCGCATAGACGGCCACGTGAGCAGTGATTCTGAAGAAGAGCACAGGATGGACGGAGAGTATAATCCGCACCAGGGGAATCCACAGCAGGTTCCCCCGGCGAATCAGGTCCTGGGGAACAACCCCATACCCCAGGATCATGGAGTTCATCATCCACCACAGCCGGGTCCCACCTTGGAGTACTACTACACTCCGCGGATTGCTGACATCCGCCCGGTCATCCTCTACCCGCCTATCCCAGCAAACAATTTCGAGATCAAGCCATGCTGGATTCAGCTCATCACATCCTCTATCCAGTTCCATGGCTTGAAGGATGAGGAGGCCAGGGTACATCTGTCCCGTTTTCTGCAGCTGACAAACGGGTTCAAGCTGAATTGTGTCCCGGATGATGCGATCCGCCTTCATCTCTTCCCTCATTCTCTGGCGGGGAATGCTAAGAGGTGGTTGGAGACCCAGCCCCCATTGTCCATCACCTCTTGGGACGATCTGGCGGACAAGTTCGTGCACAGGTATTATCCGGCATCGAAGACTACAGAGATTCAACGGGAGATCACTCACTTCCGCCAGGAGCCAGATGAGTCACTTTGTGATGCATGGGAGCGGTACATGGGATATTTCTGGCAGTGTCCCCACCATGGCTTCAGTGATGCATTCACAGTGGGAAACTTCTACAGCGCTCTCTCCCCAGATAGCCAGAGGGTGATTGAGTCTCTATGCCCAGGAGGGGATATTCTCACTAAGACTCCACCCGAGCTGAACCAGATGATTAACACATTGGCTGCCAGAGATCATTCCTGGGGGCAGAGCAGCAGAGGCAGACATTCTAGGGATCGTGGTGTGCACGCCATGGAGTCCAGATCCGGGCTCGAGCAGCAGGTAGCTGAGCTAGTGCAGACATTGAAGCAGCCCAACAGTCTTATTCCGGGCAGAGGCATGGCTACACCTCCAGTTGCTCAGTGTCAGTGGTGTGAGAGCTCGAGCCACTTAGTAGAAGACTGCCAGGCTATGAGGGAGTCTACTACTCCCCAGGAGCAGTTGGACTTCATCGCCAATGCTCGGCGCCTCGACCCGTACAGCAACACCTATAATGAGGGGTGGCGCCAGCATCCCAACTTCTCTTGGGGCAGCAACACCACTAAGCCACCTGGTTTCCCAGCACCAACAGGTGGTTTTCAGCAGAGGCAGCCCTTCCAGGCTCACCAGGGGCCAGACCCACAGCAGCAGCCCTACCAGCCTAGGCAGGGGCAGCCATTCCAGCAGCCCCAGCGCCAGTTTGCCGAGCCAGTAGCAGCTCCAGCCCCAGATGACAGGATGACGAAGCTGGAAAACATTCTAGCTTCATTCATGACGAGCACTCAAGCGACTATCACGAGGTTGGACCAGAGTGTAGCCTCACTGGAGGCAGGTCAGAGGAACCAGGGTGCCATTTTGCAGGATCTGCAGACCCAGGTGGGCATCTTGGCCCGCCAAAACACTACCAGGGCACCGGGGACTCTGCCTGCCACCACTGTTCCGAATCCTCGAGATCCTAACCAGCTCCAGCAGCTTGATGCCATTTTTACCAGGAGCGGTAGGGCCATATCTGCTGATCATGTTCCGGCCAGACAGGAGGAACCACTGACTGCTTCAGCACTTCCAGCCGACGATGCAGAAGTGCGGGTGGAGAAGGAAGCCCCTGCTCCCAAGCCACAACCAGTGGTTAAGGAGCATGTACCCCAGCTTCCCTTCCCCACTCGCCTACACAAAGACAAGCTGGAGACTGAGTTTGCCAAGTTCATGGCAATGTTGAAGCAGCTCAATATCAGCATACCGTTCATGGAGGCACTGTCGAAGATGCCCAAGTATGCCAAGTTCATGAAAGATATCTGCACCAACAAGAAGAAACTTGGGGATCTCTCGACAGTGATGCTGAGCGAGGAGTGTTCTGCTATCCTGCAGAACAAGCTGCCCGAGAAGCGCGAGGATCCAGGGAGTTTTACTATCCCTCTTACTATTGGCAGCATGCATGTAGGCAAGTCCTTGGCGGACCTAGGCGCTAGCATTAACGTCATGCCATATAAGTTGTATAAAATGCTAGACCTAGGTGAACTTAGCCCTACTAGGATGAGCATTCAATTAGCTGATCGTTCTATCGTGCATCCTAAGGGTATCATTGAGGATCTGCTTGTTAAAGTAGGTACATTCACATATCCTGTTGATTTTGTTATTCTTGATATACATGAGGATGTGGATGTGCCCTTGATTCTAGGTAGGCCATTTCTTGCCACCGCCAAGGCACTAATTGATGTGCATGATGGTAAGTTGATCTTGCGTGTTGGGAATGAACAGGCTACTTTTTCTGTGACTGAGTTTGATCACTGTGCTATGATTGCTGTCACGCCTGTGCATGCTATGTCTGATCAGGTACACGAGTCTGTCGTGTACCCTTCTGCACCTCCTATTTTGCAGGACCCTCCTATCATTCCTTCGCCACCACTCCACCCAACCTCGCCTCCGAACAAAAAGCTCAAGGAGGAGTGGAGGCCGAAGCAGCAGGTTGCTAAGCCTGCACGGAAGAAGAGTGGAGACCACTATGAGCTGGTCCCACCTCCTGCACCACGACCACCCTGGCCGTCTGGGTACTCGCTCGCCTGCATCTTGCCAGATGGGCAGGTCGAGCTGACTGATGATAGTGGTCGCATTCGTCGGGTGCATGGCCACAACCTCAAGCTGTACCTCAAGAGCGACGTGGATCCGCTCTTGGAGGCACCTGTTCCTGCACCGCCCTGAGTATCCGCCATGGGCGTCCAGCTAATATGACGGTAAAGAAGCGCTTGTGGGGAGGCAACCCCACCTCGGTTTGATTTTCTTTCTTGTGTTTTGAGTCGGTTTTTAACCCGGTTTGGGTTTGGTTTGTTTTCTTTTGGTTTGAATGATATTTTATTGGGCTGACCGTTGAACCTAACATATTGTGTTTGAGCTCTTATGTTTCCCTTTGGCTGTGCTTGCCCCGACTGGCCCGTTTCCAGTCCCCTGCAGTCCGTGCATACCGGTAACATCGTTCCCTTATCCTTCCCTCTTCTCCATTGAGGGCAATGTTGATCTTAAGTGTGGGGGGGTGTTTATCTTTTGACTGCATTATATCTGTTTGTGTGCTTGGAGCCTAGTCCACTGTCCAAATTTTTAAATTTGAGGGCTCCAAGTACGTGTCCCTTGCAATTGCCTGCTCAGTATGCTTTGAATTGACAGTCTTTATAGTAATATGCAACCTAGGGAGGTAGTGTAGCACTATGGAGGATGTTGATGCATTTAAGGAGTCTCATTTCTTCTTCATATTGAGTTGGTTGATTGAGTGAATTAGTGATCTTAGGACCCTTGAATTGTGTGGTGTTGTGGATTCTCTACCTGTCATGGACTCTTGTATCATGTTTTGAGTTTAACAGGTGCTTGAAAATGTGCTTCAAAATAAACGTCTCCCGTGCGAATAGGGCGAAAGTGTGTAAGGGGAGACGGGAATCCGTTCCCAATTTCCACCTACTACCTCCAGCCCCCTTACATGTCTTTCCCCCGCACGAGGCTCGAGACATCCGCTCCTGGCATGGCCGGTAAGAGCAGGTTGGGACTCTTGAAAAGAAAAGAAAAGAAAAATAACAGAAAACAAGCAAAACAGAAAAAAAAGGGGGTTCCAACCATCTTTAAGCAGAAAATAGAGCACCTTGAAAAATGTGAGTCCATGATCCTTTGTTTTTGAGAATCTCTTCATCCACGATTCATTTGTCCTCTGTTCACTTTTTGCCATGATGCCGACTCGATAAGAAGCTTTGAGATGACTTGTGCGTCGGTTGACCTCGTAAGTTGCTAAATGATCTAGGAAGTCCTCTACCTACGATCTGGGTTGTTTGTTGCTATAGAGGTCTGGAGAGTTGCATTAGTTTGAGTTTGGTTTGCTTGAGGACAAGCAAACGGTTAAGTGTGGGGGAATTTGATAACGATGTAATTGCACATGTTTGCGGCCCTAGTTCTTATCCGTTTGAGGGGCATAGTCGTGTGTTTTGGCCTATTTTACGCCGGGTTGTGCTATTTTGTCATGTTTCAGGTCCCAGGCGCCAAAGGGAAGGCTAACCACGAGTTTCGGGGCATTCGGAAGTCATTTCGGTGAGCTGGAGCCAAAACACGGGCAGCCTAAAGCATTACACGGCCGTGTACTGCTGGCCGTGCTTTTTATGCCGAGAGCAAATTCAGTTTGGCCAATTCAGCTGCAAACACGGGCACCGAAGCACGGCCGTGTTCATTCAAAGCACGGCCGTGTCCATCGCGAAGCACGGCCGTGTTTCCACCAGCTGCTGGCCGTGTAATTAAACCCTGGCCGAGGCACGGGCGGAGTCAGGCAAAGCACGGCCGTGCCCTCGACCGTGCTTTGGCCACTGATGCTTTTAAGCAGATTTTCAGCCACAATTCAAGGGGATTCGAGTTTTTGAGAGAGAGATCAGTTCCTAGAGAGAGAAAGTGACGAGCAAGAGTTCCCAAGTGCCCTAGATTGATCTTCAACACCATTGGAGGCTAGCTTGAGCTTGGAGAAGTGCCAATCAACGTCCAGAAGCAGGAATCCATCCTTCGCAGTATGAATTCCGTGTCTGATTCTGCTTTTGCTTTCTTCTCCATGGAGTAGTTCTCCCATTCATCTGGGTATGGAGAACCCTAGATTTGTATGTTAGGCTTTGATTGTATGAACCCAAGTACTGATTCTATGATTGATTATATTCGATTGAGGTTTTAATGATTGAATGACTTGAATCCTGATCAAATTCCTGTTGTTTCTGCTTTGACCTAGAATGAGAATATCTGCCTAGGTTAATGGAGTATCCTTGATTGAAGGTAGGGAGTTGGTGACTTTAGTCGAGGAGCCAACTCACTATTCTGTACCGGATTTACTCCGGTAGTGGAGGTTTTGTTCTTAGGGCCTCAATCTGTCGACTCCGGTGGAGGTTAGTCGCCCGCTAGAGAGTCAGATTGAGAGGGTCTGAAGACCTTTAGTCGAGACTTCAGGCTGTTTAAGAACCTTCCGCAGTATAACTGTCATAGAAACTGAACTTGGTAATTACAATCCGGCTTAACTGCAGTCTAGGGGGAACCATATCCGGGTGACTTCTCTTAACTTGAATACAACAGTTTACTTGCTTTGTTAGTTTGTTAGTTAGACTTGCATTCCAGTTTCATTGCTAGATAACAAGAATTCACTAAGTAGTCATCACATCTAGGACCCGGGTTGATAATTAAACCCAAACCCGCTATACTACGCTTTAGGAAGTGGTTACACTTGGCCAATTCCTGGAGTGACAGTAGAGTCGAGTCATTCCACATGGCAAGTTCCAACACTGCTTGGACTGCTGAATGTCTTGAGTGGGTGACTCCGCCCTACGGGGCATTGATGGCGGGAGAGAGATAGATGGAGCAGAGTACATCAGAGATTTCAGAGGAAGAGGATTCAAGTCAAGGTGGAGATTTGTTGATATGACTTGAATCGGATTATCAGCCGCTACGACTGGTAATCACGGTGTATGGGCTCAATGTTATTTGGGTTCGGGTTCTGGGCCTGGTCTGTAACCGTTTCCTTTGCCAGATTGGATTAGGTTTAGACCCACATGGAGAAGTACTATAAATACTTCTCATACTCCTCTGTAATCTGAAATCTCCTCGATATAGTGAAACTAGCTCTCTCTCGCCCGTGGACGTAGCTAACACACATCGTGTTAGTGAACCACGTAAATCGTGTGTCTGTGTTTTCGATTCTCGCTTTCGTATTCTTGCTTTGTCGATTCCGGCTATTTCCCGATCCGTAGCAGCGCGTTTATAACAACCCAGATGGTGACCAAATTACCCGTTCGACGTGGGTATTTGGCGGATTTGTGAATTCCCGAAATTCGTGAATAGCGGGTGATGGGTGGCGACGAACTCCGTGGTATCCACCCCGTCCCAGCCCCGTATCTTAAAACGACGTCATATATAAATCAAACGAAGGATAGGGGAAACCCTAATTCTCATATCTTCTCGGCTTCCCCATCTAACTGCTCCCACCCCTTCGATAGGTTTACTGTTCGCTGTTTAGGTACCGCTTAAGAGATTCGAACATGGGACCTCGAAGTTCAAGACTAGTGGTATTACCGCTAGACCAAGTCATTTTCATCTCAGGTTCGAATTTCTTAAATAACACATAATATTAAAATCAAATCTATGACATCCTTATAAAAGATTTAATGTTATCAAAATGAAAAATGTAAGTAAGAAGCAAACAAATTTCAATTTCGATATTGACACGCTAAAACACAACACCAAACTGCGACCAAGTGCAATTGCAGTTCGGAAATGCAGTAAGTGGCAAGCTCTATTTGTCAACCCGGGGTCTAGATCTACTGCCTACTCCGTGAATATCTATTATCTAGCGAACTAAGTCGAGTGATTGTGATTTTAACTAAAAGCAGTAAGAAAGCAGGAAATGTTTCAAAGTTCTTTAGCAAGGGAAGAGTCACTCGAGAATGAGTCCCCCTAGCTCCTTAGTTAGGTCGAGGTTGTAATTACCCTGGGTTGATTAACTGTTGATTAAACTGCGGAAGATCCGACAGTAGTTTGGAATCTCTTAAGTTGACCAAGCCCTCTCAGGCAGAATAACCAGCAGGCGACTAGCCTTCACCGAAATAGACTGCTGAGGCAATAAGCACAGAACTCCACTATTGGAATTGGGTTCCAGTACAAAGCAGTAAATCGATTAACTCTCGTATAACCAATCTACCACTACCGATGGATGAAGCTTTAACAACCTAATCAGATTCTATCTATCTCAGGTTGCAGCAAAAATCATGACAAGATGATCAAACTTCAATTGACTCAATGAATCATGCATCAATCGATTAAAATCAAGCAGTATATCAATCCCAAGTCATTACAATCAAGATTCCTAACACGTGGAACTAGGGTTCTTCATACCCAAGTGAGAGGGGGTTCTACTCCATAGAGAGAGAGAGAGGAAAATAGAAATCAGAGTAGTCATACTCATAAAGATGAGGATAATATGCTCTGGGATGTCGATCTTCACACCTCGGGATGCAATCTGGGCTTCAATGTTAAGAAATCCACTCCAAATAACTCATAGGGTTTGTTCTTCGCTTATTCTCTCTCTAAAGCTCTGTTTTCTGCTCAAAAACTCGATCCTCTCTCCTTAAGCTCGAAATTGGGTTAAAACCCAGATTTTCCCGACTACACGGCCGTGTGGTTTCCCAATCTGCCCGTGTGAGTACCAAAACGCGGCGTTCCATCTAATGAGCTTCATGCACGCTGCACGGCCATAAATGCACGGCCGTGTTGATTCTCAGCCTAACCGTATGTGCTCCCTGGAATTTCCACACGGCCTCAAGGGACCCAGTACACGGCCAGTGTGTCTTGCTCGCGTAATGGGATTCCACACGGCCACACCACACGGACGTGTGGCTGCTAGGTCTGGCCGTGTGGATTCCTCAGCTTCTCGCCAAACGTCCAACTTTCGTCCAATCGACCACGAACTCGTTCCCAAAATTCCAATCACGTACTAGGACCTGAAATAACACAAACGAGACAAACTTAGCGTGAAATCGACCTAAGATATGAGCGATGAGGCTCAAACGGCATAAGAATGGTGGATAAAAACATGTGTATATAGTCATCAGCTATAAAAAAAACTTACAAGAAATAAGAAACACCTTTTATCTATTAAACAACATACTAACCATATAAACAAATTTTTTTCTTGATTATAATCTAAAAACTCTAACTTCTATACTTATGTTTAATTAGTCAAATTTTTGTATACTAAAATATGAGAAATATATTGTAATTTCCTTTGTCAAGATGGATTCTAGAACCCACCTTGTTACCGGACTCTACTACTGACTATAATGTTATTATATGAATTTTCCAATGTGGCATTTTGATGATTAGTCATTCATATATGATTATTTATGTCATTATATGATTATTTAGTATTTTATTATTCATTATAGTTTTTGATATTATTCAAATATTTCTCATATATATTAGTAAAGTTTCTTGTTGTGGTCCTTTTAAAAAAATATTTATTTAAAGAAAAAATGATATTCTAACAGTATGAAAGGGTTGAACCACATTTATATATTCATGCCACAGAATATCATAATGTCGACTTGTTCGTCGTAACTTTTGGTACGATTTGAAAGCATTGCCCTTAATACACATCTTCTTTGCAAATTTATACCGATTTGAATTATAATAGTTACTACAAACTAATGGGTTCAACCTAATTTGACCCAGCCAAAGTGAGTTGAACCTCCTCAAACCTGTGAATATTTATTGATGACCCTTCTCACTTAATAAAGTTTATCGCTACGTCGACTAAATTGAGTTGTAAATGACAAGCTCTTTAGTTTTGGGTCAAAATTCAAACTATCAATTTTTATAATATCATGTTCTCGCTAATAG